AGGCACCATCCAGTTGGGGTTTTGATAACCAAAAATCCAGTGATGATCAGTTACTATTCATCTCATACATCGAGAATTGGTCATGATGGCAATGGTATTCGCATGCGATATTTTGTGATCAATGGTGCTAGTAAGTAGATGAATGATAAAACTGCTTTATTTTCTTTGTAGAGTTGTAGAGCTCAAGCAATTTTATTGGAAGTTAAGATTTTTGTTAGATATGGTATAAGTGATTTTCAACTGAGATAAAAAAGTCATCTTGTCAGTGGTGCGTGACCCTGAAAGAAAGGGAAAGTGTGGTCGTGCATAATTATTCTAGAAATAGAAGACTTGCTCCCTAAAATGGTATGTTTGAGATACTTATGACTAATAATCGAAAATAAATATATTTTTTCAGCTCCATGTTCTGAAAAATTCAACTTGACGGTCACAGACGTTGAATCTGGTAGAATCAACATTTCTTGGACATCTCTGACAACCGATCCACACACCAACGTTTCTGATGACCCTACGTATTTGGTRTTTTACAACTCTACTGCAAAAGGCGTCAATAATTTTACTATGGTAACCAACTGGACATCAGCTGTGATTGACTATCTTTCTTTCAACGCATTGTATTCGATTGAAGTTGTAGCCTTTTTCTATGGGTCTAACAGCATCGAACGAGCCTGTCCTGTACAAGTAAAAACAAACGAACGTAAGTTGTACCATATTTTCTGCTATATGTAGGTTCTACAGCAGATGTTCTGTGCTCTGAGTAAAGACAGCAGACAAATGTAGGTGTACCTTCGTTGTTAAAGAATTGTGTTGCTTTATTTTTCTTTTTCTTTATGTTCTCATCAAATAACGATTACTAATATTTCAATTGATGCCCTGTTAGAATTGGTCAACCAATATAAAATAAATCGGTAAATGCTGAGTATCTAGAAAACAAGCGAGGGACACCCCATTTTTTTCCATATTTGAAATCAGCATTAAATTTCAGGTTAATAAGGTTTCGATTTTCTTTTTCAATTTTCTGTTTATTGTTTTCCCTAAGTAGCTATCAACCTTAAGCCATACAATAGATCGGTAGATATATTTTGATAGCCATTAAATAATGAGTTGAGTACGCTGAAAATGATTTCCAGTACTTGATAATGTAATAATCTTTACTTTAATCAGTGAGAGTACGTCTTGTTGGAGGAGAAGCACCGAACGAGGGACGCGTAGAAGTCTACTACAACGGAAGATGGGGTACCGTATGCAATGAGTATTGGGACATGAACGATGCTAATGTGGTGTGTCGATCACTGGGTCTACCCAATGCGAGTTACAGTTTTTCTAACGCCTACCAGTTTGGAAGTGGGTACAAAAGTTCATGGATGACACGATTACAGTGTTCAGGGAGAGAGACTAGTCTAGCAAACTGTAACCATGCAGGATGGGGAAACACATACTCTTGGTGCAGTTCCCATTACTACCATGCTGCAGTGGTATGCGGACATCCAACAGGTGATGCTCTGCTGTATATAATTTTTACTTATTTTGGAAAAAAGAAGATTTAAAGTGAATCATTACTATTATCATTGGAGATTCAAATTCTAAAATTATAGCTAATGACTGCAAAATGTATAGCACTACATGCTTCTTTTGATTGCAACTCGATAAAAAACGAAATGCTTCTGTCCAAACGGACGCAGTCTTAGTTCATTGCTAATTGCTATCAAATTTATTGACATTTTCTCGTAGTCAAGGAGAAAGGAATAAATGACTTGACAGGAGTGATCGTAAGTCCAGGTTACCCACAGTACATGAGACAGGTGCACTACCAGTGGACGATTCGATCTATCCTCGCCAATGCACAAGTGGTTGTGTACTTTGACAACATTGATTTAAGACGATATTATGGCGGGTAGGTATGAGTTTTTCTGCCTGAACAACTTAGAACCAAATTATTACAATACGAAGTCGGATAAATATGAAAAGCATTTCCGCCAA